TCAGAAAAAACGCTCGTCTTCATTTAGTTTAACCAGTTTATCCTCAGTGACCTCAGCCAGATGGATTTAGTTATCTATTTCAGAATTATTATTTTTTTAATTGGAAAAAAGTGGATTTTTATTATTTTTTTTAAACATTTTTTCAATTTATTTTATTTTTTATTATTATTTTATTATTTTTTTAGAATGGATTTTTTAAGGGAAAAATGTCGTGAGATTAAACTTTTTTTTTTTTGTCTGTTTCTAGATGTTTCAGACCAACATGAAAATGTCATTATCAGGTTGGGTTGAGTCATTTTACACAGATTCTAAATAAAAATAAATTCTGCAAATTTAACAGCTGGAAAAGAAAGTAAACAATAAATATCTGGAGTTGTTTGTGAACTCCTGTTTAGGAGCAAAATGAGAGAAGAAGCCGTAAGAACTCAAACATTAAAGACTTTCAAGCCACAATAAGCTCACACAGACATATTTATTATTTTCTGAACGTTTAAAAAAATCCACATAGAGGAGAGTGATTATAAAGTTTGTTAGCAAGTTACAAGTTTTAACCCAAAATAAACCTGATGCTCAAAAGGCGATTTTTAAAGTTTGTCTAAAGAAAATGTGGGAGGAACTAATCCTAACCCTCTAAAGTTTTTATGACCAAACAAAGCAGTTTCAAAACGGGGAAAATAATCTTGTTTAAAATATTTTTGATTGTGAATCAAACGGAATATCACAAATATTTTGATCTTTTATCTATACGATGCTTCATTTTTTAAATATAATTCACAAAAGTGTCTACAGATAAGTACATAAATGAAAAAAATGGGAGAAACTTTAAAATACACATAAGTAAATAATGACTTTATTCAATTAGAAAATAATAAAAAATAACCAGAGGATAATGGCTGAATGGATGTTTGTCTAAATAATCTCAACATAAAATACTTTGGATTTTGGATATTTGGCTCAAACAAAACAAAAAAGGTCATTTTTAGTTATTTATGTTGGTTGTGAAATCTTTTGGGCAAAGCAAAAATTACAATAGATTTTATTTAAAACAATTTGATGAACCTCGAGGAAATAAGTTGTATTT